GACCTATGGCCACGATATTCACAGTCCCCAGAGGCAGATCCTTAGCAGTTGTAGAAGGATTGAAAATTATCTGCAGCAGCGTAATATTCAGCCTTATTATTATCACCTGTCTGTGTTGTGGTAGCACCTAAAAGTACCAATCAGAGGCCTCTTTTATCTAGGTGCTGTACACATGTCAAAAAGACAGTCCTTGCCCAAAACAGGCCAGCATTCACCTCCCATTCTAAAGGGGAAATTTGCAGGGCTAAGGGCAGAGATGATGAATTTGAAGTATAGCTGGTCAGAAAATGATCTTTTCTTTTCCTGTGGAAAATTTCATTTTTGGGGGCAAACATTTCTATATTGAAATTATTTGACTGAAAATCGAAACATTTCAATTTGGAAATGCTGCTGCAGTGCCTCATGGGAGCTGTAGTTTGGATGCCTCAGGCCCCCATTCTTTAGAGGTCAGACTACATCTCCCATGATGCACAACGGTCACTCCTCTTGAAGAGAGGAAGCAATGCATCATGGGAATGCCTGTTGCATCATGGGAAATGTAGCGTGGCAGCCCTCATGTAAAGGGTTGGGAAAACAGAGGGAGGGGTGATACTCTACAGCGACAGACTCTGCTGGCCACAAACACAGGCCCCATGAAACCCCCTCGCTTCCCCCCTCACCTTCTGCTTGGGATCATGATTGTCTCCTTCACCTGTTTTCCCATATAGACGTTTTTGTCAAACCACATCACGGAGCCTCAAAGTACTTTCCGGGCCCCAGCGAAGGAAGGGGAGTGGCACTGGTTGGATGGCAGCCCCCGTCTGTCACGCAAGTCCCTCTTTGTTCGGCCTCTTCGGAGAAAGAACTGTCCCTTACAATCAGCTGTTTCTGCTCTCCCGCTAAAGAGCCAGATGGAGCACTGATACCAATGCAATTGATACTAGAGGGGTCTCTGGTCCCCTTTAGTGGCTAAAGCATGTAAAGAAGGTTATGAGTCTGCTACTGCCTCCATCTGATGTCATCCAGGGTCAGCAAAGAGCAGGGACTGGACGTGGGATGTTCCTGGGGAGCAGAAAGCTGCTTGACCATGGGGCAATCTGAATGTCCTGCTAAGGAACGGTGCTGGGGAGAACAGCAACATGGCCCAGTGGACAGGGCCATGGACAAGGAGGCAGCACTCCTGAGTTCTAGTTCCAGCCCCATGAGTGTGCTCTGCTGGCCGACTATGAGGCACGTCTCTTTCTGCTCTATGCCTCAGTTTCCTCACACGTAAAATGCACTGGAAACTGATGTCGTCCAAGCTGAGAACAGCTCTGGCTTGAGCAGTGGCTGGGCCAGCTTCCCCCTATTCAGTGGCTAGCACCAACCTGCCATGGCCCTGACCTGCAGGCACCACCTCAAGGAGTGAACAGGCAGATCAGTCCTAGGAGCTGGCTCATTTCACACCACCTGCATGGAGGAGGTTTTGGAACCAGAGACACTGTGCGCATGTGGACTCTGTTCTGTTACTAAGACCCACAGCCACACTGGGGATGGGATGGGAGACGATTGCCAGCAGGGGCAGCCTGTGGAAGCCAGGAGCAAGTGGAGCATTTGCAGGGGTGCTGGGATACACAGCACCCACCAGTGGGAGTTGCTCTAGGATCACAGCCATCTAAATCATCTATCTGCAGTGCTAGCACAGTCAAGCATAGGTCTCTTTGTGCCCTGACTGTCCTCTGTGCTGTGATGAGCAGCCACCCATCCTCTGCCTTCTTCCATCCACCCATCTTCCTCTTACCCACCAACTGCACCACCTGGCCTGCCAACCCCTGCTGTTTGGATGGTGACATTGAAAGGCAGCTAGAGCTGTGTGAAGCAGCTGGCATCCACCAGGGTCCTTCCATCCAAAGTTATTGGTTCCCCCACCTCCCTTTTAGAACTTCCATATCCACCTCTAATTCCATGGGGCTTCAGTTTCCTTCTCAGGTTCTGGGGGCCCGGGAACCCAACAATTCTGGGGCGCATGGGGAGGACTGTGGCACCCGGCTCTTTGATGGGAAGTGGAATGATGCCATCTGGATCTGAGAACGGTCGTACTAGCTGAGTCCCTGAATCCACAGCAGGGAGGGAAGGTCTCACACAGCCTGCCCCACGTGGGACTGCTCCGGAGCTATCATCTCATAGACTTTAAGGTCAGAAGGGACCATGATGATTATCTAGTCTGACCTCCTGCACAACGCAGGCCACAGAATCTCACCCACCCACTCCTGGAACAAACCCCTAACCTATGTCGGAGTTACTGAAGTCCTCAAATCGTGGTTTAAAGACCTCAAGGTGCAGAGAATCCTCCAGAAAGTGACCCTCAGACTGCTGCTCGTGAGCTGCAAGAGGCTCTTCAATGTGTCTCCTGTGGCTCTTTGCAGCACATGATATTAAAACACGGTGATTTAATTATTAACCGATCTAGGTTATTAACCAACCTGGATGCTTTTACTATGTTATTAACCCATTGAGTTATCAACTTACAGTAAGCTACTAACTTATTTGCCGTGAGAATAATATGTACAGATATGAAACTAAATATTTCCCATCACACTGTTTAGATATGAATAATACTATAGTAAATGAAACAATAAATTCACCTACTGTGGCTCTTTTGCGTAATGGTGATGGCTAATTTGGCGCCTGAGCCACTGAGGTCCGAGTATCACTGCTCTACACGCTGGGCGGCTATTGCAGCGAGTGGAGCTAT